TCAAATGGATGCTTGTTAACTCCAGCACTACAGTAATTCCACTTATATTGATGCCTACGCCTTTGATGGTATAAAAATGCCCAAAAAACCAGTTTGGATTTCAAAGTTGAATGCTGAACATCCAAACAGTACCTGTGCAGAATCACACATGGAACTTCAGACAGCAGAGGCACAGAGCATAGCAGTTTATCCAAAGTTAGATTCAACAGGCCACTGAATACAACATATAGCCATGAGTCAGACCAGTAAGCAACTGTAAACTCACAACTTCAAGGCTACTCTTTAGCAACTAGCATTACTCTATCACATATACTGGCAAAGATCACATTCTGATGTCAGAGCCAGCAAGAAAAAAAAAAAAACAAAACCCTGATTTTGACTGTGTAGAAGATGACAGAAGGGAAGATGGACACAGAAGACTACCTGTAATATTTTTTTTGCCTTCATCAGCATGCTGGATTAAAAGTACTCATTTCTCAAAAGCAAAATGTAATGCTCATATGTCAAACTGGTATGTCAGTGTTTTAACTGTATGACATGCTCCAACATAGGGAAAGTGATCCTGGCAAGTACTTGACAGAAAACATCAGGAAGACAGATGTTTCATGTCTAACATGCTTAACTTTAATCAATTTCAGCATCTACTGCAAATATAAAAACACATCTTTAAATGTTTATGTAAGTGAGGAAGAAAACAAAATGGAAAAATTCAAACTGTATATGACATTTTACTGTTTCTACAGGAAGGCTGCCTTTCTGGGCTCACCAAAACTCAGAATCCCTGTGTCACATGTTATTACAATGCTGAGTTTAACAGTCAAAAGATCTAGGAAAACAAAATGCTCAAATCAGGAGTACTGAAAGAACTTTGGTTCTGAGGTGCTTACACCTCAGGAGTTTTGAAAAACAAAGAGGTAAAAGTGTCTGGTTTCCATCAAGTTTCAGACTCAACATCTGCCATGTGCAAAAAAAAATTAACATATTTGCAATATTTTGTCTTCCATTTTTCCCCAAATTGTACCACTATATTCTTCCCTATTTTAAAGATAGTCTTTAATAGAAACTGAAAAAAAATTTGTATTTGCATGTTAATAAGTGACCTATGGGTCTGTGTATTGTCATTTAGTCAGCTTCTATCTGTAATTACAGATTATGAGGTTACTTTAGACTTGCACAAAGAACCTGCAGTGTAGATTTTCACGATCAGATGCCTGGATTACCACTGGCTTATCTTTGTATGAAATGAATTTTTGCAACTAACTAGAAGCTAAGCTACTGACATACCTCTTTCAAACAGATCTGAATCCTAAAGAACAACAGGGTAACAAAACTTTTTATTCCCCTCAAAGTGGGAGTAGAAGTTATTTACTTCTTCCTTCAAACAGAATTTCTACACCCTAAACAGCACTTTGATTACAACTAAGAGATGTCTTTCAGAATGCAGTTGCTAATGGAAATTAGGCATTTATGAACAGTAACAAATGGGTACAACCCCACAATGAAAAGAGGCAACTAATTTATTTCTTTAGGGGAAAATACTCCAAGCAAAAATATCATAGAAAATATAATTCTTTAAATAGCTATCAGTAAATTAGGAACTATGATGCAGCAAAACAACAAAGAAAGGTAAAAATGGATAATAAGTTGCAATTGATGCAGCTAAGAAGCATAAGTTTTTAAAGCATAATAAAAAATACAAATAAATAACATAACTACTAGCTAAGGATAGAAAAATTGTCATCAGACAAAAAACCCTCTGTCATGTGTAATAGTTTACATTGGGAAACAAGATGACAAATCTTAATAATAGTAAGTATTTCCCAATGTTCTAAGAGATATTTCCTCTACCACTGAGAAATTTTTAGAAATAAATACTTGTGATGGTGAGGTCAACTGATTTGTTCCTATTAATTCTGGAAAAGCTGGAATTGAAGTCTCAAGTGGCTGACAAGTTTGCAACACTAACATAGTTCCAATAAATTATTACTTATTAATTTGAAGATTAAAATAAAAACACCAAGAAACAACATGGGACAAAAAGTTTGACACTCAAGCAGAAAATATATAGAGGAAACTGTGGAACTCGATAAATTAACAGATCAAAATGACCCACGCTGACTACAATCAACATAAGATGATAATAGTTTATGCACATGAAGATCAAAATGATGATTTTGCTTAAGTAATACAAAAGTAAGGCAACATAATATTTATCAACATGACATTACTTAGTAGGGTGGTTTCAGAATTTTGTTAGAGCAATAAAGAACACATGAAGTGAACTAAAGCTCAGAACAGCACCCCACTTTATTTATTTTAAAGAGAACTGGCTGAGACTGTTGCCATATTTAAAAGCACTCAACATTTTCAGTGACTTGAAAGTGATTGTAAACACAGCTCCTGATAGCATGTTGTGGGGTGACATGGGCATTGACCAAACTGAGTAGGAGTCAGAACAAGGCCAGAAAGACCAAGCAAGACAGACTCACTCCAAAAATAGGTTGTATGAGAAAATTAAATGTGAAGCATATCATTAAGTTGTAAGTAGGGACCATATTTAAAGCAGCAGATTAATCTATTCTGCACATACACTTTGTGTATGACCCAAAGGATGGCAAGCATGTTCAGCAGCCGTGGCTATCCTATATGAGTAGTCCCAGTTCTGATAACACAGGCACACTTTGGGTTTCACTTTTTGGGCAAATACATTCATCCAACGTGCAAGAAACTAATGTCCTAAAGAAGCAAACTTCTGTGAATGACAGCACCTCCTTAACAAAATAGTTTGTGTTCACTTATATCTATAAATTGAGTATCTAGAGACCACCATCACTCACATCTGTGTCCAGCTACAGAAAAGCTAGTCAAATATAGGTAAACCAAAAATTCTTCAGAGTCAACAAGCAGAAGCAGCATAAGATACAGTCTTGTCAAATGCTTTGTTCAACGCTAAATAGAAGCTGTTTACAAATCAAGATTGTTGTGAAGGCAAACAATTTCAAGAGCAGAAACTGTATCTATTGCTGCACTCAGGAATTTTATCAACTCCCTCTGAAATCAAGAGTGGAACACAAGGTTTCCATAACACTGGCTCTAGACTCACATTATTACCTGGGAGTGCCACCTTTGATGCTGTAAAATATCCAGTAGAATTAGACTCTTCTGCCAGAGAAATGATGGGGAGGAGGGGTAAGCAGACATCTAAATTGATCCCAAAAGGACCTCTTGACTACAAGATGCTACATCACTACTGACTCAATCCTCAAGAAAAGCAAGACAAATCTTTGATGAAGCAGTAATATTGTCCTTTATCCAGCAATGCAGAGTGCAATGCTAGCACACCCAACAGCACCCGAGGTACTTGAGTTGCCACTGCTACAGTTCCAGAACAGCCTTGACAGCATTTGAGCTGGAATCTACTGTACCAAAAGCTGCATGAATAAACTGGCAAAGTCTGGAGAACTGACACAAGAAGAAAGCATCTGGAAGTGGTCAGAAGTAAATAATTTTTAACTATGTTCATGTTAACTGGTCTACAGTTATCCATGGTGTCCAGGCACCAACATTCTGTTTCATTCCCATCTGCATTTTAACTTCAAAACTTAGATATCCAAACATTTGTTTTCCCATTCACATCAACACAGCATCTACAGCCCCTGCCTCATCCCAAATCAAGTATTTTTTGATATCTCTCATTCTGACAGTCTCCCTGTTAGATCTGCATTCCTCTTCTGTGATTACAAATGCTTAATTCTTCAGGGCTGGGAGAGAGAAACATAATCATGTCTTTCCTTCTAAGCGCACTTAGAAGGGAAAGCTTGTGACATGCCAGTTGTTGTCAACTTTGTTGGCTTTCAAAATTTTTCCTTATAGCACACAATTAGAGCAGAGTTCAGAATGAAGATTCAGTAACGTGGCCTTCTACACAAAGTCTGAGGACAACACTTGGTGATGGTCTTTAATTAACAACAAAAGACTTTGAGGCCAGTGCCTCAAAGATTTTTTGACTCCAAGACAGGATGATTCAAACAAGTCCTTTTGTTCTTTTCTCTTGTGAGAAATGTCCTTTTGTAGAATGGATCTATTGTTATATTATCTTCCCAACATCCTTAAGGAAACTCACAGACCCAGGTTCAAACAGACAAGAATTCTCACTACCTACAAAATGGCCTTTGGCTTAAATCAGAAACTTAGAAATGGAAGAGAACTTAGAAAAAAGAAATTATGAGTTCATAAGTTCTTTCAAAACTGGGATTAGGAAGATACATAAACCTATCAAGAGTTATTGGTGATCACAGGTCTGAGGGTTCACTGCAAATATGGAAAAGAGTTATGTACTGACTAATGGAAGGTTTACTGAAAGAACAAAAAAGAAATGTAAAAGACATTAATAAAAATGCAACAAAAGAGTGAATGTATTAAATGTTGCCTTTATTATACCCTATAGACAAGTGTTTTAACTGTCAACACATTAAATTAAATTAATTTGCATTGTATCAGTCCTCTGTTTCCAGTGGAAGTAAAGCCACTTAATGCGCTTATTTCACTGTTTGAAATAGCCACAGGGTAACAATGGATACATGAAACTATTCTTAACCCTGTTAAAACAGCCATAGCTTAAAATGACACTCCAACAGCACAAAATTCAGGTACGTTAAATTTCCTAAAATTCAACAATACCCTTCCCCCAAAAGACTAAACACTCACTGGAGCAAGCAGAACGGGCTTATTTTATGGAGGCATGTTTAAAAAAACCCACAACAACCAACCAGGAAAAAAAAATTCCAAGCCCATCAACTCCTCCAGTTCTTGCTGTATTTGTGGCTCCCTGGCCTCCTCAGAAGGGAAAGTAACTGCTGTGTAAGAGGTCTTGTGGACATTCCTGCAGACTACAAGGTTCTTTGTAGGCAGACAACCACGCTGACTGGATTTCGTAATATTTTCTTCAATCTAAACTTAAAACCACACATCTATTTTATGCAGAATTATAACATACTTACTCTGCCATTACACGTCTGACGTTATTGGCATACAAGACTGGATTTTTTCTTTCTTCTTCTGAGGGAATATACACGGGTAGAAACTGCATACAGAGAACTGAATTATACCAAAAATATTTAACATTTTAAACAATCTCTTACAGCACTAAGGTGAAAATGGTATAGTTTGTTGCTATTCACAAAGTTACATTACAACTACAGAAAACATTAAAAAATTAAACTTTTAAATACTAAAGTATATGCCATACTTGTAGAAATTCATATAACATTAACTGCTTATTTCTTACCACATGGAACCTAAGTAGAGTTTTATCTTCATTTCTTAAATGGAACTCAGAATTTTAAAATAATTTAGAAGTAATATAATTTTCTTGCATAAACCTCACATCCAGAAATGTTCAGCACTTTCTAGATAACCAAAATAAGAGCACACACTAAAGGAATATTACTCTATATTAAGAATCCAAATTTTAAGGACATCAGGTATTTATTGCTCCCCCTGCACATTTTGAAATCATGTATGACTGCCTAATGTACACATGACAAGTGTTTTTATTTTCTGCTGTTGGATGTTTTGAAATTTTTTTCCCTTAAAATGGACATCAGCCATTAACACTCCATTGAAAGAAAAAATCTAAATGAATGCAGATGACCAGAGAACCAAAGAACAGTTGATGTTGGAAACAGGAAAAGTAAAACAGAACTGCTGGAGAACCACAACAGAAAGGGCAGCTTTCAGAACAGCATGGCCTACATTAAAATATCTTCCAGTGTATTAAGCTGTTTTTAAGTGTCCATTGAAAAATTACATAAGCCCCAAGATCATGGCCAATCTCACCAATAAGAATCTTCAAAACATTTAGTTCTGCCAAGTAACTAACTTCTCGGATGGGAGGAACAAGAGGAGGTTGCTCTGATGACCACTCCTACTCAGTACCAGACAGACAGCTCTCTTACTAGCACAGAACAATGAGATAATTTATGCACTAAGTGAGAAAAATGATCTTAATCCTGTGTAAAGCCTCTGAATTAGAAAACAAAGCTGCAAGAAGCTTAGCTGTAGCATATGTAGTTACCTATGGGTAGTGAAAATGGGAATTATGACCCAGAAATTTCACACTGGTCTTTAAAATAGAAACTAACAATTGGGTAAAGTTGTTAGCCTCTATTTTAAAGTTTATAATTTCAGCAAATACTTCTCCATAACCATGAAGCTAGCTGTGTTTTTAAAATTACGTAACAGTACGATCAACGCTACCCAAACACTGCCACTGGATATTCATCTGAATTTAATTTATTGAATTTATTTTGTGTTTTGCTGAAGTTTTCCCTGTATGCCCCATTGCAGATGAAAACATATGACTTTTGTCTTCTAGGTTTACATTACAAGCAGGTACAGCAGCCTCATGTAATACGCAACTTCACAGTCTTTGTGGTTTAAACAGACATGGGAAGACTGTTCCTTCAACTTTCAAACCTCATTCCAGTTAATTGAGTTGCAAATGGCTATCAAGTAATTTGTCCAAACACAGAAGAAGTTTGAATATGAGGTGATTTCAGAGGTGCTCTATGTGCCTGTGCCTAACTCAACATAAATAGCATAATCATTTCAACATCACTAACAAAACTAAGAGAAGAATTCTCAGCTGCTGCAGACTGTCATGGATGTATGAACACTGAAGTTGACAGGTCAGTAAAACAAACAGTCATGAGCCAAAACAAACTACACATGCAGATAATCATATATCCTTTCTTCTTCCTAACATTGCCAGCATGCCAGTTCTAAGTACAGGATGGGTGGATGGGCCAATATTTACAGAAATTTATTATAAAACCTACACAGATGCTCGCTTCTCCATACACAAACTGAATGACACACACAATATGCCAGAACATATAATATATGCAGAGAAGCTCAGACTAGCTAACTTTGGATCCTGATGGCTGGCTGTTAAACCTTACCAGCTATCATTTAATCAAAAAACCACTGAAGTTGTGTTGTTTTGTAATATGTCTCCCTGAGTTATTGGATCATCAGCACTAACTGTGGTATCCAGGCTGGCAGGGATTTGCCAGTATCTCTGTGTTGATGGAACAGAGCAGGACAACCAACAAGCTTCAATTTTTTCCTGTATGTTACCAGTCCTCATTGCACTTCCTTACAAAAACAGATTCAATAAGTAGCTCTCAAGTATACTTGAGAGCAATCTTACAAACAGGTCTGCTCCTCTATCATCTGCCAACTCCAGCTTTAGTATGGAATATTTCAGAAGGTCACTAGCTTTCTTCCCCCAAGAGCTACCAAAGATCATAGCTTGTTATGCAAGATCTGTAAGAGCGACAGAAACTCAACATCTGCTAGCAGCTGCTGCCTCAAAAGTCAAGAAAGCTCAGCAGTGTTCACTCCTGTGTGTAAGAAACCATTTTACTTGCCTAGGGCAGAAAACCATGCTCCTGAGATAGGGTAAAAATTCTGCCAACCAGCTGGTTTGTCTTAGCCCTGTGTGAGCTGGTTTGTCTTAGCCCTGTGTGAGCAGTCATTCCCCGGCCCTTCTGCAAAACACAGGCCACTATTCTGGAAATCACATTTGTTTTTTATCCAAGTAAATTGATAACACAAACCACAAATTTCTACAACACATACAAGTATTGAGTGGCTGGTATTTTGCAAATTCATCAATTTTGAGAATAACTGATTGCAAAAATAAGCAAACACAGAGCAATGACAAGTACAGTGATTAGCATGCAATCTATGTTACTATTGTAACACAGTGTATGTAAACATGCAATAGTTCTTCCTACTGTTTTACCCTGCCATCAGTTCCATCTGTCAGAGCTAAAGAGCTGCTTCATTATTCAAAAAGCAAAAGAACTGCAGAACATCTGTCAAATATCCTATATGACACTTTTGAAATATGTAATTGTCCACAAAAATGTAATTACTCTGTGTAAAATGCATAAGGACAAAAAAGTTGAAAGGAAAGGCTGTAATTGTTTCCACATTTTCACTACAATAGTCTTCAGCCTTAAAATTACAGTATTTTTCTCCACACAAAGTTGGGAATATAGATAGATTTTCTTTATATTTTCCAGTTTAACATTCTGAACACTATAGCTTAATAAAAAAATTAGCCAGACATTAAATAACTTATGTGGCCTATAAGAAACCACCTACAATTTTTCTCTACAAGACAGTCCTTAGTTTGTACAAGAGCATTCACACACTTGAATGTCTGACATACAAAGTTGGTACACTACTTAAAACAGCCATCAGGCCATTAGAAGACAAGAAATTTGTTCACTAAGGACTCTTTAAACTGAGCCCGAATTTTATCTACTCAACTCAAATCAGTAAAAAAAAAAAGTCTTATGCCAACTGGAAAACTCTATTTTGCTATTCCATTTTTAGACTATATTTTCAGATGCAGAAGCCATTTGTCTAAAATATAAGTGGTATCTTAACTTGTTTTTACAGACATAGATACAAGATTTGAATGCAAACTTCTACTGCAGAATTAAGTACAATATTATGCATTCTGCAACTGCTCAGAATACACTGGAGTTTTTTTTACTGACCTCGATTTCCACAGAATTGTGAAACTGACATAAAGTAAGCCACAGAATTTCAAACCTAAAAGGGGAAGATAGGGAAGGATGGAGGAAAAAAAAAATTATATGTAGTGAAACTGTAATACATTACGGTCCAAAGTCTTCATGTAGCATCTTACTTGTAGGTATGATCATATTCAAATAAAAATTAAAAGAAGAAGCCTTTGAAAGTACTTCTACATATTACATTCTGTAATGTGGAAAAAAAGTAGTTTATGCTGAATTGGCATCTTAAAAAATAGTCAAAACCAGGAAGACAAACAGTGAAAAGTAATATATGCAGTATGTGTTAAAGGACGAATAACTGTCTCAGAAAAATGCTGCACTCAGCACAGAATTGGCAAGATTAATTATGTAACCACAGATTTTATCACTGCCTCAGTTTGGAATCAAAGTTCATTATACTTCCAAAGTCAGTTAATGAAATGCAGTACGTGTGTTTTAATAGCCTAAGATACAAGATAACTGGAATCAAGTTGACCTTAGAAAGCATTAAGATTCAAATCCAGGCAAGGATTTAGTAAACCTAAATTAAGAAGCAGTGTCAAGTAGCCACATTTTCATACAGTATCCATGTAGTTACAGCAGTCAATCATTGTGAGGGGACCACTGGTCAAAATCCTCTTATATAGATAAAGCACAGCTCCTAGAAGCAAAACCCTACTCATTTTGTTATACACCCATATAGGGTTGCAAAATATTTCCCCCTCTTCCTTCTTATTGAGCTTCCAACACATTAAAGCAAAGAAAATAATCAGGAACAATGAAGTCTGGAATTTGAAGTTTATGTTCCCAAAAGAAACACAAAAGTCTGGTTTCTAGATCCTTGCTCAAGCGCATTAAAAATCCTCAATAAGTTACAAGTAAACTTTTCTCTGTCATCTCTGTAATCCTCAAAGACTAAACCCTGAATTTAAATAAAAATTTAAAACTGATAGAACCTGTATCTAACTCAACTACAGTCATTCTTTGTTTTCAAGGTGGACTCAGTTGATCTGCACTGAATACTGTCAAAGTAGTAAAAGCGTTAATTTCAATGAGTGTAAGAGTGTTCAAGTTTGCATGTGACAAGTCTTCAATCCATCTGACAAGCTACAGCACCTTTGAACAAACAGAATATTCCTACATACAGAAACATTTCTAGATTATGTTTTGGCTAACACTAAAAGAGAAAAGATATGTTTGCTGAGAAAATTAAACCTGTTGTCAGTCTTAATAGTATTTTCTGCTATAACATCACAAATACATTTTAGGTCACCCAGGAGAATTAATCCAAACTGTAATTTAAACTGACCCAGTCAATTTGTATAATATCACATGTTGCTGCAGATTCTGATTCAGCTTTAATTTAATTTAATTTTATTAGCAGAGGTCAACACTTCAGAATAAGGGTTTTGTAGACATGATAGTGATTTGAGGCAACACACAAGTTTCTTCCCTCTTCCTCTGTGCTCCTCAGTCCTTAGTTGGGATACTAAGGTGGAAGTAAGCTACTCAGCTGTCTCCTCTATGGCTGAGCTACATTTTTACAGAACTGCGGTGCAAATGCAAGGGAAGAGGTAGGAGCTCACGAGATCAGAAAGTCCTTTATGCAGCAAATGCTACAGTGTCTATATGTCTTATATACAACCATGGACTCATCTACTTCCAATGTGACAAATTAATTGTAAGCTGAACCTTTGGAAGTGATCAATGATTTCCTCAAGTCTCCAAATCATATCCTTAATTAGACCTGGTTCCTAAGTGCAAAACTTAATTAACAAAATTCTAAATTACTTGAATCTTGGCTAATCCCCATAGTTTCCTCATTACTACTAAAACATAGGATCTCACATGGGACGTTCAAAATAATACAAAGCCTTAACCACACAAGCCAACTCCCCTTTGTTTAGGGTTCAAAATTTGTGGTTTTCATCTTCATCTAAACATTTTGGAATTTCTACTCAAATCCCAATGAGAAAATAAAGATAAAAATTTTGTTTTAAACAAGCAAGAACTGTTTTGTTTAATATTTTATATTACATGAATTTGACAAAGAACCTCTAGAATAACATTTTGTTTAAAAAAAAGGTTGAAATTATATTCAGGCAAGATAATGGAAACAGTATGTCCAAATTCTTTGAGTGGATCGACTGTTTTTGGGAGAGTAGACCAATTTCAAACAATAGCCCTAGATTTTATACAGTAAGATACCAAATCAACTTGCAGTCAATAGAATATGTAGAGCAGAAGCAAGTTGTTTTACTTCAGGCACTTGGCTAGAAAAAAAAAAAATTGAAATAAAAACCTAAAATTCATTCTGCAAACCGACAGAATCATAACAGAAATACATTGTTTCCACCTGGATTCCTCTTAATGACTATTAGAATAATTACAGAATAACAGATAAAAGATAAATTAATCCCAAAGAATAATCAAATAACCAGCAATTGGTTGACTATGTAAGTCATATAAATAAAAACTAATTGAGGAAAGCAATGAAAAAAGCAATAAAACATTAACCACTTACGCTCCTGGCCCTTGCCATGTCCATGTGATTGTGTCCTAAGAAAAGAAGTGTGACATTTGCAATTAATTATTGTGCTTTCAGCTTTTAACATTGCACACAGCATAACTAACAATATATGACTGAGAAGTTTTCATGGAAATTCTGTGCTCCCTTTGCAAAGTTCTTAACCCTGTGAGGAATCAGCCCATCTTCTATACAGCTATGTGGCCAAAATGAACACTGTGTGAAACACTAAGAGAGGACAAATAGCAGTAAAAGAAGAAAACAAGATGCAAGTAGCAAAAAATGGAACAGAGACCTGTAAAGGAACATATAACAGGTAGTAATATGACAATAAAAGTCATCCCATTTTTAAGTAATACTAAGAAATAGCACAGGAAGAAAAATGCACTTCTTGGAGATGTGATTTAAGTGTACAAGAAAGAATTTAAAACCTGGAAATTAGTTCTGTTCTAACTGGGAAAAAGAGTTCAAGTCATTAGTGTAAAGACAAGAGGACTCATTAAATTCACTCTGAAACTCTGAAAGACCTGATCAGAAAGCTATTTTTTCAACCTATTGAACACATTCTAGTTTAGTTCTATGCTACAATCCAAATCCGTTCTAGAGGTTTCAGGTGATCACATCTGCCATTGATCATGAAAAATCAAGTTAAACTCAAGTTTGAATTACCATTTAGAGCAAAAGGCTACCAAAAGTAAAAATAAAAGAAAGCAAACCCATCCATAAAAAGAGAAAAATATTGTTAATGATAGAACAACAGCTTGGAGAGTAAGGTCAATATGTCACAAAGATCCACTAAAAAATTTAAAACTTGATATTTAGTGATTATTTGCAGTCAAAAAAAATATAATAAAGGATGAGTCCACCTGCAGCAATAAATTTAACTGTATTAAAAAACCCCATTTCCATGTAGCTATCTTTCAGAACTATAATGTGCATAGTTTTACTGTTACACTATTTCTGGCTATTTTGATGTCTCTGATAACACTGCAAGTAAACACATTATGAGGTTTGTCTTTTTCCCCCGAGGAGCTTTCATTGTAAACCATGAGAAACCAGTGTAGATAGCTGATAACTTATCTAGAGACTTGATCTGCCTTACAGAACACCAAGCACTATACATCTCCAGCTCAGCTCTCTAAATTGCAACAGTGCAGAGGGAAATAAAGAAAAATGTCATCTCCACAAAAGTGTCTGGATCATTGAACAGTGCATAGATATTTTCAGAATCCAGCCTCATGCTGGCTAGCTGGCAAGTCAAACTCAAGTAAGCCACATATCTATCAACAATCCTGCAAGAAAGCCCCAATGTGAATGTCAAAGTGGAGAGGCATGCTTTTTCTTGTAAGAACTTCAGGGTGCCCCAGGGATAATGGCCAGAAATGCCATCTAGGGGAAAACAGGATTCTGATCTGCAAGAGGCAGATCCATGTTATAGGAGACTCCTACCAGCATAACCAACATCTTTATGATAAAAACAACAAGCAGACAAAGGAAAGTGGGATTTTTCCTTAAGTAATTAAGTTTTATGTTTATCACAGCTACCAATGCTACTGGACAACATTCCCTTTGACAGCATTCTGAGTACACTTTCAAACTATTGTATCTAAGTAATGAATACTTTAAATTGTGTGGAAGTACATAAAATGATACAATAGCTTGGCTGGAAGGGAGCTTTTAAGGCCATCTATTCCAACTCCCCTGCAATGAGCAGAGACGTCTTCAACTACGTCCTGCTGGCCAGAGCTCCATCCAACCTGACTTTGAGTGTTATCCCCTCTGTTATTTCTCCTTGGCATGGGAGCAAACAGGGAGAAGAGCCATCTTCCACAGAGTTTGTATTTGTCACAAGAAGATACTGCGAATCGTATGTCAGCCTTCCAACAGGAGATTGGCTGTGTTTTTACAGGTTCAGTTAACCCTGATATACCAAAACTGTGTAAGAGCTGCTGCCAAACCTCTTATCAAATAGCACAGTTACTTGTGGAAGACATTTGCACATAAAATACATTTTAAATGGCTGTTTTATTTAAACAGGTATATAGTTTATATATTTTCATAATTTCTTAAGTAACAACACTCTGACAGAAAGTTCAAATGAAGAAACAAAGAGAAGAAGTAAAAAATTATAAAAAGGACTGCAGTAGAGAACCTATGGGTGAAAGACATTAGAGCATTTATTCTAACTAGAATACAGGTAATAGCTCTCAGGCATCCAATACCTAAAACATCTAGACAACCAGTAGCAAACATTGACTATCAAGTCTAAACAACATTTATAGCCTTAAAATTTCTTTCTGCTCATGTATCAAGAAGAGCAACATGCTAAAATATTACTACTAAAAAGCACTGATAGAGGACCAGAGATATCATCTAATACAAATAGTCAAAAGCCCCAGGATGATTTTATTCAGGGAGCAACTCAACTATAAAAAATATAAAACAGAGTTCTTCACAGCAACCAGAACTAGACATTCTCCACAGGCTCTGATCTCAAAAAGCCTCTCAAAACAGTTAGGTGCACTCAAATCTAAGACTGTCCTCATCTATGCTGTGGAACTCAAAGCTCTGAACATAGATCAGGCAATCCAAACAAAACAGTGGGGTGACTGCACACGATGTATATCTGGAGTTCACTGGCTAAGCAAACATCTTAAAAAGTTCCTTTCTAAACTAAAATTATACTATGCATCAGTCAAACAAGACAATAAATAGAAAGCCAGGGACATTAAAGTTAAAAGCTAAAAATGGTATGTTAGTGTATGAACACCAATATTCATTCCCTACTCAGTTCTTACATGTGTTGTGGTTTAATCCCAGCTGGCAACTATGCACTATGCAGCTGCTTGCTCGCCCACTCCTCCACTGGGGTGGGCAAGAGAATTGAGAAGGAAAGGTAAGCCTTGCCTTGCAGGTTGAGATAACAATAACTCAATAATTGAAACAAAATCATCTAACTCCATATCATAACCAGAAATCCATAACCAAAATAAACCTCCTCTTCATGTACCACATCATATTCCTTCTGCCTCTCTTCCTTCTAACTCTGATGCAAATCTTCTGCAACCCCTAAGCTAATGTAAAGATAAAGCATTAATAGCAATTATCACCTCTGCCATTAATTCTTAGGCCTTTGGAAGGTCTCTAGGAATTAGATCATAGAAGGTTAAATGACTCAGTGAGGCACTGAAAACTAAGTGTTTCACAACAATTAAAAGTAGTAGGAAAAAGTAAAGTCCCATTCACAAACTCATGCCAGCTCACAGTGGATATCTATATAACTAGTTATGATTTTTTATGACATTTTTGCAGTAACAAAAATTATGAAAATTTTCATTTACGTTTATACTGTTTTACTTCAACATTAAAAGCTCACAAATTTCTGTTAATAAAGTGTTAGGCACATTTACTATTGGTTTAAAAACATTGCATATTAAGTACTACAGGCAATAATGACATTTCAGTATGCACCTGATTTTGAAGATATTTACAAAATAACATTTGATAGCTTTATATTGCTATGAGCTTAACAGTAACAAAAAGTTACAAGGCATATTAAGGATGACATAAGCCATGAGCATATTTGCCATTTTAAATGGCAGTGCCATCAAAACTTCAAACTATTTTTAGAAAAGAATCTTTCTTCCTGAAAATATAACAATTATGTAATGAAAAGTCCCAGGCAGCCTGCTACAATGCACTTGATACTATGCAAGCATATCAGGCTGCTATTTTTGTCACAGCATCTGCAAAGACAATTTCTGGGTTTTTTACTGCAAACTATTTGATTGCCATTACACCTTGTCTCAGCCAAGAGCCAATGGTGGTCTGTGTAAATTAACTTTGCTTGGATCCTTTTCTTTTCTAATCAAGCACTTGTTTAATATCAACCTGTAAATGACAGAAAGAACAATGGATGGAAATATTTGTAAGCTACTCAGCTACCAAGAAGAAACAAATTTTTTCCTTAGGACAAGGGGTTGTTAATGGTCTAGTCAGAGATCTTCTGATGTGACATGCATGAGTAAAAGAGACCAGGTGGTCCTTATTTTACTTCTGACACACTTGACACCCTCCCTAAGTAACTTCTACTTCAGAAGGGGTCAGACTGGACATGAAAATATCCCTGGCGGGCTCAAAAAGAAATTTCAGATATTGTAAATAAGCACTATAACCTGCATTTTATCTGAATGTAATTTACATTGGAGGACTGCTCCGAATTAGCTAATTCCTTAGCCAAAGGCATGGTGAATGTAAAATAGAGATGACACTTCATAAAGGTGCAGAGACCCTCAAGACATTATCTTATACCATTCAGCCAGTCACAGGAATTCGTGACTAACACCCCCAAAGGCAGGAGATGCAGAAACATCTTCCAGCAATAAATGGCATTAAAACAACTCTCCAGCACACACTGGAAGAACAGGGAGCACTTTGGAACACAGATCCAGGACAGAAATTACCATTTGTCTCATACTTTGCGGAGTGCTTCTTGTAACAACCTGAACAACTTTCAGAGCAGAAACATTTAAACTGTCTCAGTTAAGACTCCCTATATTGCATGAGACTTAAGAAATAAATACTTAAGCAACAATAATTTAGTAATGACTTCTGAATTTTTAAACCTAAAAGGTTACACAAGGGCCAATGCACTTAAAGGAAAATGCCCTGGATTTCTAATGACACTGCAAGCTGAACTTACCAGTTTGTTTGGATAACGTAAAACAACCGGCTGCACAGGAACCCCAGGAATAAACGCTCCTAGAAGGCACATATGATACATAATTAACTTATTAATACATTTTGGTAAAGAACAAATTTACTGCAGCAAGAAAAAGTTATACAGCTAATGGATTCATAAGAAGTAGCTGATGGTGAAAACACAGGATCTGAAAGTAGCCTCAAAAGTAACTAAAAAGCAAGTACTGGAGAATGACACTGTATACCCACCTTTACAGCACACAGGCAATTAAAAATGTTTGCTTCCATTATCTAAATTATCCTCTAGCACTTACATATATTGTCATTTACACAAGTCAAAATACACATTTACACAAGTCAAAGCTAAGAATTCAGCTCAATAAATGAATAAAAAAATGAGCATGCACTAGATGGTTAAGTTAATTTATTCCCTGTGGTCAACAATATTTGATCTTAGGCTCTTATGTAAAATAAGCTTTCTACTTTTATCTGAACAACAGAAATTTATAGGCAATTTATCATTTCTGAAATAACAGAATTAATGTCACTTCTATTCTGTAGCTATGGAAAAACTAATAGTTATTTATTTAACTAGAGCTATATTGAACTAGAGCTATTATTCAGAAGCATTGCTTCACTTCATGGGAAAATTAGAGTTTTGATAAATAAGGAGCACAAGTTCCATGTCATTTTCTAAGCATTTTCTTGGTTTCTAATACAAAGATTGGGTAAGCATGATAACTACCTTGTTCAAGACTTCTCTAAACATATCTTTCACTCATGAAGAAATTAAGATTTCCACTCAGACTATGTTATTCAGGACAATTTACTAATGTCTCCCTAATATTCCAATTAAAATTAAGAACCAAATAATTGAAGTACACTGTATTCCTGGCATAAAATTTGTGTTACAAAATAACTGCCAAGACATAAAAGGAATAATTGTTTACAGAGTATAAACATCTTTGAATGAAGTGGGCTGTGTGGAATCCTTAAGAGATTTGGAGGCCAGTGGTACCTTCTGATCAGTCTCAAAGAACAGTCTAAGCAACTTTCGAAACAATCCAAAGCTGACAAAAGCTGAGTGGTAGATGATAACACTACCATTTAAACACAAAACCAAGAAAATGTGTAGTGAGAGCAAGGATCATAGGCCATGTTGGTAGAATGGAGAAAGGCATCCTGATAGAGTTAACTTGAACAGAGACCGAAAGTAATGGGATATAAGTGAGGAGCTCTGAGGCAAAGGATTTCTGGAAGGCTGGATGGATACAGAAGCAGGTTTCAGTAGGAAAAGTGAGACAGTCAAGAGGCAGACAGCAGCATGTACTAGACCAGGGCAGAGGAAGATAGAGTGAGAATGTAAGGATGAAATACATGGCGCCTGGAATGTCTATGGCACAGAGGGAGGGCAAGAAATCAGGGCTTCACATGAACGATTCAGGCTAGCTTTCAAAGCATGGTCAGGATTTAGGTGGAGAGAGGAGAGCAAAGAGCTACAGAAGTGGATGTTTCCCTAATCACCTTTTATTCATCTAAAAAGGTAAGAGCTGAGAGAAAAGTCTGAGATTCCTTCAGCCAAATGAATCAGTGCAAGGAACCACAATGCTGACTCACTGCATGATATTCTAAGAGTGCTATTTAAATTGCAAGCCAAACAAAATACAAGACACACAGTAAGACCAGAAACTAGGCAAAAAACTAGGAAGTCAAAAAAACACATTCACAACTGCCTTGCTCACTGAAGCTTCTTCACTGACCATCTTCCTACCTACACGATAAAGGCAAGTTTACATTAAAGGTTAGTGGTTTACTGCAGTACCAGCATTTATTCCTGCTGGAAATGCACTTTACAGCTGCAGCACTGTTCAGTGTCACACCCTCTACTAATCTGATAAACTAAAAAGGGTGATACCACTGAAAAGAGCTTAGAACATGGATGTTACATAAAAAATACACTATAAAGCTTAAGGCAGCAGCAAGTATCTAAATGCTGCATGACAGACCCAAAATAGGGTATGGAGGGGGAAAGAAAGAAAAAAAAAAAAACCAGCAAAAAGACACAACCACAAACAAAAACCCAGGAAGAAACATTACTCTTCCAGCTCATATGCATCTCAGAAGTCAAGAAAAAACCTGAATTATCAAAACTGTTTTGTTCAGTGGTGGAATTACAATCTTCCCGTAGCATCAGAAAATTTATATTCCAATTTCACCTTACTGCGAGGTTTTTAACTCAATTTCTGCAAGAGCAAGCAAATTAAAATGCAAGTGGTATTTGAGAAAATGAAGATACAAGGACATTCTGTAGAGAACAGAGAAATGAGCATAATACCTACCAGGTTTGAATGTAATTAGACAGGATCGGTTTGTGCAAGTGCCCTCTGGGAATATCATTATCTTGAAGTAAAAAAAAAGTTGACTTTTAAGAACTATTTCAATGTGAATTTATTTATAAACACATCTTTTCAAAGCTGTTATTAACTGATTACAGCAAAAATGTTCTCAGGGAAAAACAGTTCAGTTAGAGTAAAAAAGAAAAGGTGCTAAAGATGTCAAGTAAAGTTCTACCTTAATAGGAAAATAATTTTTCTTTATGCCTTTTTTTTGCTTTCCAATAATAATTATATTTATTGGAACACTGACAGTGACCAGAAACACTTGTTAAGTATGAGTATTTTCACTGAAGATATTGGTGCTGGCAAAAGTATCAGCTTGTTTTGTACCAGAAAAAAATTCCTGCTCCCAGGCTACCTGCTTACAAGCTAAGAAAAGACAGTTATTTTCTCTTTGCTATGCCCAAATGACAGGGACTGAAAATACTTGAAGAGAATTCTAGGAAAAAAGAAAAAAATGCTTAAGTTGAACCAATTCAGCAGAAGAGAGTAGACAGTACAAACACAAACAACTCCCACCCCAAATCCATATCATAAGGGAACAAAGCAATGGACTAAAATTAACCTTACTAGTTTTATTGACCATTCTGTTCTAGCTTGCTTTGAAATCTAATGATGAAAGTCATGATGCAAAAGCTACATATCACCTGTCACATTGTTTATAGCAGTTTATAACATTTTTGCAGTCCAGTGTGCAGAGGCATACCCACTATTAGCAGCAATAATCCCATAACAAACATACAGTACCCTAATCTCAAAAAAAATTATAGGAATGCTTCAAATTTGCAAAATAATCACATGCTTCTAGGAATGTGAGATCTTAAAAAGTCATCCATTCCTTCCCATTACTCTCAATCAAGCATATAATAAACAGCCACATTTTAGGTGCAGAAAAAAACCCCTGAGCCACTTATTTTATCCATGCCTTAATCACATATTTTAATAGAGGTGGTATTGGAACATCCGAATTTTTTGGGCTGCCTTGCCCAGCATCACATCAACAATGGCAGTGCCAAAATCCTGTGAAGAGTGAGAACACACAGTGCTTCCCCAGGTATTCTGATGAGCACTTCATTTTTTTTTCTTCTTAGAGAACTTCCTCACCTGCTGTGGTCTGTCCATTTAGCACCACTTAAGAGCTGTAATGTACTTACCCAGTTTCCCTTGAAAAGTTACCCAGTTACCCAGTGAGAGACAGATGAGAATCTTACATTTTATCTTCTAGAAAGAGGGAGTGGGGGAAACCCACACACCACCCCACACCATCTAAAGCCACCCACAATGAAAGAAAGTAAACTGCATATCTAAAGCCTGGAAATGCCAAACACCATCTCTTACAGAGTAGCAGAATACAGTACCTGTGGCCATTTACCACCAGACTGGGCACGCCTCTTTATCTCTTCAACAGTTTTCCTGCGAGAATCCTGGTCTGCCCGAGATACAAATACTGGTCGGATATATTTGATCAGAGCTGAAGAGGAGGGAAAACAAAATCAAGGACCAGCCTTTATTTTCCTTTTGTTTGAAAAAGATTCCTCCACCCCCCACAATTAGTCCTCTGGACAAAAATTTTTGTTAGAAGAATGTAACTACTTTATTACACTGTAAAATCCAATACTCAGTTGAATTATTGCGGCTTTATCAAAATATTTTCATAAGTTTCTGTGAGGAAAACAGTTTTCACAATTTTGGCATTTTGCACTTTTTCAATTTTTAATAGATCAATACATACAACACAGATAATGTAAAACACTATGCTACATATTATGCAGTTTTCTGCAACCATGCAACTGTGGCTTTATACAGACCATTTCCTCCTTCCACAAAAATCACAAAATCTATCACAACTCCCAGCCCAGCAAAGCAGCAGGAATCTCCCTGCTACATAAGTGCTTGCAAAAGACATCCTGTAAGTCAAATTGTCTTTTGAGCTTTTGTCTTCTATGACATCTCAGCTCCACTAACATTACACCACCAAAGATATATATACACTGATATTGTTTTTTGTGAAGAATCAGTGTCAGCAGAAAAGGCATGCTCCGTTTCTCAGTTGTCACTTGTTTGCCTGTTCCTCATACCAGATGAATGAGATCTCAGACATCCTTTTCCTGGCTCAGTGAGAAACTTCTTGTACATCGCCAGACACAAAATGAACATGAGCAAAAATCAGAAATCAATCCACAAGATACTCTCCATGTATGTCTGTCACAAGGACACCAAAGACAATTTTCAAAATAATAAGAAGCCCATACAGCCCTTTTGCATTGTTTGAAAGCACTGCAAGAGAAACACCTTTAAATAGAGTGTTTCATGCCTTTATTTAAGCAGGTTGTCTTTGAAAACCTTTTAATAATTTTTCTATTATGTAATCTTACTTGAGGGTTCAAGAGTCACTAAAACATTAGCTATTCTACTTGCTCCAAATACAGTTTTCATTTTTCCAGCCACTGTGAAGGGAGTTCACTGACACCGTATAATCTGCTTTTGTCAAGGATAAACTTGCTACATTAACGGATCAGCCAGTGCTTAAAGTGTGAAGAAAAAACAGTGTAAGGAATTACAGCCCTGCACTCAGCAAAACCTTCTGGTTATGGCGTTATCCTACTGGAAGTTTAGCCACCAACTCACCAAAATCCTTCAGTTCTGAAGGTTCTGAGAAACTAATCTGTCAAACCTTACAGCAAGTTCCCAAACATTCAGCCAGCCTCTGAAATATTATCCAACAGGTTGTCACAGCTCAGGAGACAGCGTATCAGAAGTTACCTTACTCTTGTACTTTTCCTACATGCCTGCTCTTAGACAATATCTACAGAACAATGCTTGTCAGGGGAGCAAAGATGGCCAGCTTGGGTAACTGCCAAGGCAAGGTAAAAACAAACAAAAAAGCCCCAAAACAAACCACAAATAGACTAACATTCAAAGAATAGGGAAAAAAACCCACCAGAACAAGCAATAAAAATAACAAAGGAAACCATACTTGGTATCATAATTGTTTTCTTCTACGTGATCCTACTCTTGAGTTTGCTCTACTGTTGCAAATACTATTCCATAGCAAAAACATTATAAAGGAGAGAAAAATATCCAACATCCCTAGCCTTCACTTGGAAGTTTCTTTTACATTAGGCCCAAATGACGGAATTTAGGTTACTTCAGGCCAAGGAATGAATAAGATAATTCCAGAACTCCCAGACTCTTTTCTGAGGACATGCTGCAAGCAGGGTCTTATTTATAACACATGAAATTAAGCAAGCAGACAAAGCAGACAGATTTTTCTTCGGGCAGCGTGATAGAAAACATTGGACTACACTGATGTCATCTGTGTATGAAAACCGTACTGGCAAGTAGTGCAAAACTGGGAACTTTACTGTTACAGCCCTTCCTAAAGCAAGCTACTGTAATGTTACTAAGCTCCAGAAGAACACAAGGTGAGTTATCCTACAAATAACAATGGCACCACAAATAGCAACAAACCCCCTTGTGCAAGGAAAAATTACTATGATATGCTGAAAGACAGAGGCAACTGAAATCTTAGCTTCTTATGGATTTGTCCTGCTGAATTGTCCTGTTGAATTAGCCTATCAGGGTGGTTTTATTAAGCCTTACTTCCTTAGACATTGGACTAAAAAGCTGACAGAATTCTTGTTTTAATATTAAAGAGCAACTGAAGATCCTGTGAGACACCAGCTACCAGGCCCTTAGTGGTTAAATCCAACAATTTAAGTGAACCTGAAACTCTCAGTCGTCGGTAAAAAGCTGAAAATACACACCAAGGGAAAGCTAACTCAGTAGTCCTTTCTTAACCACTTCTGAAAACAGAGCACAAGGCTACACAGACCTACACTCTCATCACATATTTTCATGTTCAGTAAACACACAAATCTGAAAATTCAAAGGCTGTACCAAGTCAATCTGTGCCAGGAAGTCAAGAGCAGGGCCAAAGGTCTGCAAAGAGAAGCTGAGAAACATACCAAATATGCAGCCAAGATGAGACTGTGGTCAGATGTCAAGTTGAAACACAGGAAGACAGTACTTAAGGTAGTGTGTGATGCAAGGAACTAGGCAGGACTAGGGCGAAGTCAGGCCAGAAGTGAATGCATTAAATGCTCCAGACAGCTGGCATACTCAGCAACTAAAGGAAACAAGTAGAACTCTGCAACATGTTCAATAAACAGAACATAATCATATCCTTCTCTGCTCAACAATTTAACTGTCCAAGACTGGCTGTAATCAGGTAGTGAAGACCACAGCTCAAGTATTCAGAGATTCTGAAAAAACGTGCTTGCCCAGATCCTCTCATTCTATTAAAACCACCCTTGAATTATCAAATCTAGCGAGCAATGACAAACAATCCATCAATTCACAAAATTGATCTTGTGAGTGTCATTATTTCAGCTTTTTCCCTAGCAGTGTCAGTCCTATTTCATCTAGTCACTTTAATTCCCAATTTCAGATCATACAAGGAGTCCCGAGGACAGTTGACATGCTGTATTCTACCTTCTTAGGTAGGTACCTGCAACTTAAATACTGCTGCCAGTAAATCATTAAAACCTCTGCCTCTCAGGGCAGCCAGAATGCCCCAGACACTCTAACCAAATGAAAGCCTGCAAAAACTCAGTATTGCTTTAATTAATAGCAGGGCGGCAGCTCCAACGATTTCATAATTGTAACTCACATGCAATCAACTTCAGCACCAGCTCAATGCATAAGCAAAACCCATTCGTTTCCTGGTAAGCTGAACACATACAGTTGGTGTCTTTAAACTTCTCAGGACAACAGCAGGAAAAAAAAAAATATTTCCCCTCCCTCTGAGCAGGCAAGTATGTGTGAGGAAACCTTGTTTCAATGCAAGACACAAAGCGCTGTGTAACACAACAGCAGAAAGTACTGTAGCAAACCATTTATACTGGCAACATCACCACTGGTTCAGCAAGGCACCAGAGAACACAACAAGCTATGGAACAGCAAGGTGGCATTACATACAATTCTTCTAAAATGTATCCATACACACATTTTTGAGTGGGCAGTCACATTTTCACCACAGTAGAATCAGCAACAAACAAAGTGACAGCTGCAAAAGTAGAGAATGCTGAAGTTGAGGCTTTCACTTGGCCTCTCTCCCGAACAACAGAAAACCCCATCACTACATTCCTCTAAGGGAATCCTACAGAGGCACCACAACTGGCTCTGCTTGCCTTTAACATGGAGGTAAGCTGTACAAGCAGCCTGCAGTGGGATATCCATTTACAGTATCTACTCCACAGCTTTTTTTCTAGTATGGAAAAAATACAATTATTTTTCTAATAGCAGTTGACATGTTGTGCGCTCCGTATTTAGGGGTACAAAACCCATGAAGGACTACAGTTGAAAAGCGCTATCTTGGGCTTAGTTTTCAAGAGTTGCCTTACTCAAATGTACATGCTCACAAGGTTCTGAACTCATAACTTACCTAATGAAGTAAAATCTAATATGAAAACTGCTCTCTTTTCTGTGCAGAAATCTGAAAGAGGCTCAAAAGTCTTCTGATAGTTAGAGGGGGAAAAACCCATTCAGGTTCTAGATTACAATTACTTCCCGTATATATGGATACAGAGGCCTTAAAAGTGGAAAAACTCAAGAACACACACACCAAATAAACAAAGTTCTATCAATGCACAAAACTCCATTTAACCAAAATTAGGATCTTTTGGACTTGGAATTACATTGTCCTTACAGAAGTAGTGTTATTATAGTCACGATACTCTAAGATATTTGTAAAGCTGGTGGTAGTATCTTATTATATATATACTTATATATAATATATATACTTATTTGACTGAAGTGTGAATCAACCACTGAAGATAAACATATGTCAAGAACAACTTCTCCAAGTTTGACTAAATGCTTAGCAGATGGACCACCTGACTGAAGGCATGCCAAGTATTCATGGGACAGAGGTAGTATTAATTGGAAAGTTATCCTTCCTGCTTCCAAAAAAGGCAGGAAACAATGCACCCTATAGGAGAAGGAAAGGTCAGTAGTGGGAAGTAAATAATCACTGTCCTCTCTAGCTTTAACAGAAGTAAATCCTGTGGTATTTGGGTTGGTCTTTCAAAATATGATCTATTTCCTTTAAGGATTTCTTAAGGGACAAAGACTTTTTTATCTCAGAGATCACAGTTTGCTCTCACACCTGCAATACCTGTATGTATGAGGACATGGTTTAATGTTTTAGCTTTCTGCTGCCAATCTAAAAAATATTTAAGGCAGGCAGCAGCATTGGTTTGAAGGTTTCCTATATATTGCAGTTTGTAACTTCAATAAATGATATTCACTAGTGATGGCGGTTCAAACATTCCAGCTTGAATTTTTAATTGGCTTTTGAAACAGGGTTTTACAGGAGAAGATGAAATAGGGAAGTTTGACAACAACTTCAAGATGCTCCTCAGAAATGGGGAGCTCAAGTGTGTACTCAAGGCAGGCTACAATGCCAACATAGCATAGGATGCTGGCATTCATCCTGGTGACCTCAGTGTTTAAGCCCCTGATTTACAGTGTACAAAAGAGAAGAAATCCATAATGACTTCACCTTAGAACAGGTTTTTCCATAAGGAGTTTAAGGACTGCTTTAGTGAATCTCAGAAGTGTTGAAATGTGAGATTCTCACAGAAGAACTAGAGGTCTACCACAATTCTCTTCTTTGTGTGCTTTGGAAAGGTTGGGAGGGGCATTTGGGATGCAGGACTAAAGGATTAGGTTGCACAACAGAGCTGGTGGGTAATTTGGCACCTTTTAAGCTTTGAGATGAAAACATACCCAGCTACCCAAGCATAAATACTTTCCCCTGAATTACTTATTCTCATCTTTTAGTCATGATGCTTGAGAAAGGCCTATAATGCACTTTCAAAAAATGAGCTTGAACCAATTTCATGAGTTTACTAGATGTGGAAAAAACCACCTACAACAGAATTCATACTTTTATAGGACTGTGTGATTCTCCCTTTCTCTGTAGGCCTGCTGTGTTTTGCCAACCACAAATTACCTCCTTTCCCTTTATAAACTTAAGGTGACATATCATCCTGTAATTTTCACAGGTAGCAACTCCGTCTCCTATTCAGGGAGTGGTGCTGGAGATGTTGAGAAGTTGCCTAAGGTTCAAATTAACTTTTCACTTGTATTTAGTTTCTAGAAGTTCAGACCACTGAAAATGTTCATTCATAAAAGCAGTCTAAAGTCCCCATCAATTCATATTTACTGATAATGCCTTTTCCTTCTCAGTGAAGCATTTCTGCAGCAGGACCAATCGTTTCAGCAGTGAAAAACTGCTTTTATCCAGGGTGCTTCAACAGCCAAAAGTAAGACAGTGAAGTGTAACTATCCAGAAATTATGCACAGACCTTGTCCTGACTTGAAGTGAGATTCAGTAGACAGAACAGAAAAGTTTAAGGATCTGTGCTGACAAACTGATCTGACTTCTCCAGACCATGTAAGGCATAACAGACTCCTACATGTCATTTTCCCACTGTAAGACTTAAGTAGTCCAGCAAAGGTCACATCTCCAATCTATCAAAACCCTGGAAAGCTACTCTGTAGAAACATACATCTTCCTTCAGTATCATGACATATTCCATCTGTTTGGCATTCTCTGGTTTCCAGATACTGGGTTTTTTTAATGACTGAAATATCGTTTATATTTGGGTAAGCAGTTCCTCCCCAGAGTTTGTTAACCTCGTGTTTGTGCGCCAAATGGATAATTTTCTTCACAACTGACCACTGACTGAAGAGTTCATAATTCTTCTCCCAGAACCAAAGACCATTTTTAGATCTTGTTTTCCTAAAAAGGACGAAGATATCTGTAAGAGTCACAAGACGTTAAGTCTGCTTCTGAAATTGGACTTTGCAAACCAGGAGAGCTACCTTCAAGTCAGAAAGCAATAAAAACCTCATACACAAACACAGTTGTGGAGTACTTCCAATCCCATAAAGAACAGGCTTTTAATCATCTGGACTTTCAAGAGGATCAGAAACTTAATATTCCATGATTGGCAAACTAAGGATACAATAATACAGGCAGCTGTTCCAGAAACCTATTAAAATACTTGCAGAACCAATCTTAGTAACCATTTAGCAATCAGATAATTTTGTGCCTGCTAAAGCACCTGATCCCTCTGGTATACAATGTACCATGTCTCAATAAACACATTGTCATTACATCAAAAAGCCAATTAATTTATAACATACTTGAATACACTGGATGAGGATGTACTCTTCACCCAGAGTCCTCACCCTTGGAAATTATCTTAAAATTTCCTCTATCCCTTCATTTTTTACATGTTTAAGTCTGCTCAGATAGTTAAGTGAATGTACTTTATTCGATGCTTCCCAGAAGATTCAGAATAACCATTAACAAGACTCAAGAGATAACAAGGTTAGGATTATCAGTGACTGGCTGCAAAACCTTATAGAAGATGGTATATCAAGCTTGCAAGACTGACAAAAGTGAAGAACACATACACAATTATGACTTCTCTGGGAGAAATTCTGGATGAATGTCTAGAGTGTTGACGATTCACCAGGCAACCCGATAAAAACATGAGCACATTATCAAAGCAGTTAAAGAGATAAATAAATCAGTTTTACTGGAAAGTTCTCATTTATTTTTAAGCCAAACTAATCAATACAGTGATTACTACCTCTCTGTTAAGGTCCACTTACTTATATAAGACAGACCCCTTTAATTAATGTTGCTCATATAACTGTCCACCCCTAAAAACTAAAACAGTTTTTGAACTCTCATTCCAGTTACAACCTTTGGTATGCCTCACTTCTGTGGCATTTTTGTGAACCCTTCAAAAGTGACTACATAACTTTTGTGGCTGCACAGCATAAAGCAAATGCAGCTATACAAGACAAAGCACTCATTTATTTGTCTGCACTGTACATTCCAGTAGTATTCCATCAAATCACTACATGTTCTCTTTTTCTGTAACTGGTTTTACTCACATATGAGCTAAATGAAGTGAATAATTTTTAAAATGTATTGTAGAAGTCTAGACTTTCAATGGAATCCTGTAAAAGTCACCTCAAAATTAAATTAGATATTTAGAAAATAGTTCAATCTACTTAATAGACATTATTTGTATTACATTCAGGGGAACTACAATCTCCATATCCCTACGGATTTTTCTGGTTCCCACTAAATCTACTACGTGGGATACTCGGCCATTGTCAAATGCCATTCTGCCATTTCATCCCACTGCAGTAGCACAACATGGACTGGAGTCACCTCATTTAAATTGGGTTCTCCAGACAGACCACTTCCAAGTCAAAGGGAGCTCCACACAGACTACTTTTATTTTGTGGAGCCAGCAATTATTAAACAGTCAACTGAGTCACCTGAGAAAAAAAGATAAATCAGCCCCTGCTTCTATGTCTGCACTGCTCATAAGCTGGCCTGGATACACCTATGCTGTACAGGACTGCCAACATGCTGTCTCACAACAGTATCTTCTTTCAGTACTGAACAAGGGAGTTCAATTTCTTTTTGTTTTCACACTATGCTTGTTTGCATACAAATTGTTTTTGAAAACACATGCCTGCCTGCATCCTTTTTGTTTAAAGTATCTATTAATTTTTACATAGATTTTTCACTGCCACAAATTTATAAATGCTGTTAGTAAGATATTTAACAAAATTAAGATACAACTACCAATCTGGCCTGAATTTTACCTCATACAGGCAGACTCTTATATGATGAGATTCCTTAAGTGACTTCCATATCTGACGACTCACCCTTTGCAGCCATGTCTCAACTTCTGGTTTTGAATGTGACCTTAAAAACACATTGTCTAATTAAATTTTAGAAGGATGTCAGCACCAACAGCCCGATTCCACTTAGTTGCAAAGGAACTCAAAGCTTTTGTTTAGACTTTTAAATTTAAGAGTCCTACTCATGGCCAAAGCAAAATCTTCCCTCACTTTTATACTACCCATAAAACTCTACACAATGATACACAAGAATATTCTTTGAACTTTGCTGGACTCAAAATAGTGAGCTTCTCCAAAATGCTTCCACACAGACTTTGGTTAGAAGTCTGCAAGCCTAAAGCTTACAGAATTTTTATGCCTGTCACAGCTGCACCAAAAATCACAGGTGTCTCTCAAAGATTTGTGAGAAATTACATTAATGAATCCAAAGATTGTATTCAAGCACTACTGACTCAGGCATCTGCTTTTCTCATAACCAAACCCAAATGCATGACAATCTGCTCTTGTGCTCATCTCTCACACTCCGCCTGAAACAAACTTATTGATGCATGAAGGATTAGCAGCACTCCCTTCAAGGCAGGGTAGCATTCAGAGCAGACCACATTCCTAAAACACACCTCTGGGAGGGCACCCCAACTCGCACCAAGTCTTTGTAAACTTTCTCCCTAACATCAGTCTTTGCTTCCACAGCCCCATCCTAATTTGCTTTTCCATCTGGCAGGTCTTCGAATGTCAGAAGTTCACTGCAAATTAAACAGTGAGTTCTGTATATTGCTTTGATTTCATACAGGGATTCAACTTTGGTGAAAGTGGAAAAAGAACATTCCCCTCCCACTCCTGCCCTAATTTGTTCTATTGACGTTCAGAGTAGACCTGTAAAAAAACCCCAAATAAATTCTCACCATACATTACAGCAAAATTTCCTTTCTGTTTCAGTCCTTCTCATACACACACAGTGAACTTCCTAGGCAATCTTTTTAAATTGTTCTTGAAAAATGAAGTATCTACCAACTTACTTCCCCAAACAGGAATATCTTTGCTTTCTGCTTTCATCACAATGGAGGCGAAGGTCATAGTTACTGGAATGGCATCAAAGTAGGAAGAATGGGGAGCCACTGTTAATATTGCTGCTTCTGCTGGCAATGCCCGTCTGCCTTTTATATTTATCCAGTGGAATCCACCAGCAAGCCACATCATTCTCATTATTGCTTTCAGCAAGATAGCCACTATCCTGTAAAGAGTTGGGAAAACAGTTATGTTGCCACAGGAGCACCTTAAAATAATGAGATGAAAAATTACATGCATGACAGAAGTTCAGATAGGATATGATGCTTAAAACAGAGCTGGAATACTGCACACACTTTGTTCTTCTCTTTCTCAGCTGATTTAAAACCACTATCAAGGTAAGATGCTGTTCAAATTCATTTTACACCTGAACACTAATTTATTCTTGTCTCCAAGATTGACATTTGCTTCATCATTACTTTTATAATGCAATAATAAACAGATATTTTGTAATATTACACAATATTTTGTATAAACAAAATATTATGTAGTAATAAACATATTACAACTGTTAAGTTTGTTTTACACAATGTCTAATAAGGTTTTCTAGTAACACCTAGAAACATCTAATAAATTAAGTCCTGAAATACGCTGTTAGGATATTGCAGAATACATTTGCCCTGATTCTTGGTTTCAAGTTTACCCAAACAAAACAGGGGACAAATATAGGGCACAGATTCTCAACTACAGGAAGGCCTACAGAATACATATAAGAGCTCTGGAAATATTTTACTTTCTTTCCTTTCCCCATCTTCTCCTAAAGTGATTTGGATTTTTGTTTCTTGTGGATTTTTTTTTTTTTTTGTGGACTAGGGAAGGTTTTGGGGTTTTTTGTGGAGTTTTGTTTGTCTGCCTTTTTAAACCGTCTGACAGTCATGAAAAGAGAAACTTTGAACAGAGTACAAAAATCAAACAGGACAAATTGTAACGCAAGGATTGGAGGCTGGAGAGCAGGGTAACACTGAAAACTGGATTAAATGGGTAAGGGAAAATCTAAAATGATTCATAATAACTGTATGCAAGACTGAAGGCAGCTGATTATTCCATTAATTATTATACTGATATCGCTCCAAAAGAAATGTAAAGTGACATGCCTCTGTGGTTCTCAATCTCTTTCCCTCCTGTGATGCAAAACACGATCAGCTCCCTTCATGCTAGTGCCAGCTCCTAATTTTAAAGTTGTCTATAGAAGAGGTGATACACCCCTCCTCTCCTGCTCCTCAAATAGCAGTTTTCATGGATGGGAGGACACTATCTTACATTCTACCTTAATTAGCATTGCAATATCAAAGCAACCACAGACTTTTAGTAAGCACCGAAGTATGGGGCAAGCCTTCAGAGAATCAATATAAGTTTTGTAAGTTCATCACAGGGTAGAAGACAATTGGGTGAAGCAGTTTAAAACAACAATTTAGAAAATGAAATCTGGGCACATTCCATAGAGTCAACCTTCATAACCAGAAGTTGACATTACAGGAATAAATGCAATTGAAGATGCCACAACAAAGCTTCACACTACATCCTCAACAAAGATAAGAAAACAGAGATTACCAGTGCAATTCTCAGATCACCTGGCAAATCAAAGAGTTGAGGCATTTCTAGTTTTCCACCTGAGGAAAGTGTTTAATAACTTTCATATTTTTCTTTTGAAGAGAAAAGTGGATCTCTGAGACAGGTAAAAGGTGTTTCCCATCTCCTCTATTTCAAACCGCTGAACTACATGATTCTCTTAGTATTTCATCACATCAGTGACTCACTTTCGCCACCAGGAGAGGGGCTTTTCAAGCTCTTGCTCGTCAGATCCCATTGAAGCAATGAAAGCAAAAGGCCAGGCCAGCAACATCATAAAAGCAGCAAAAAAGAGTCGGATAGGAAACAGAGTCAAGGTCATGAAGGCAATCTGCAAAATAAAAATAATAAAGAAAGCATTATTCCAACACAATTTCAAACTGAAAAGGTCAGTGATTCCTAGAAACTGATACCATTTCTTAACTTAATAATATCTAATGGTAGAAACAGCAGAATACTATTCAATTCCAGATATGCCAGATTAGGTTAAAAAAAAAGTGCACACTTTTCACTAGCACAATAGCTGGACAAGGATGAATAACGAGGCATAAGGTGCTGTCTCATGTTGTGCTTAATCTGATGCATCTCCAGGCCGCTGTGGAAAGATTTATTCATATTCTTCTCTTCCCTGATGCAGTTCTAGTCATCATGCAGCTCACTTTCCACTTCCTCTCACTTCCCAAAACAGCTCAACGACCAACTCACTCTGTAGATGCACAATCTGTAAATCTAGGGTAGGTGTGGGGAACACACAGCAGGAGAAAAGCCCAAGATACCAGCCCACTGCAGTTGGATTTTACAGTGATGGTTCAGACTGGCACCATCATCTCATATCAACCACAAGCTCACTCTCCAGAACAGGATTCCAGTCCCTACAGAGACTCTCCTTTAGTTTGCAGAGCTGACAGAAAAAGGAATACTTTTTTTTTTTTTAAGATAGGCTAGTTTCCCAGATGAACCAGTAGAACTTCACACACTACAATGAGCATCAAAGTTACACCAACTCACACAACTCTGCATCCACAGACAAGACCACCAAATCTGGCAGCAAACAGAGGAGCATTCTGGAGATGAGAGCAGTTTCCTTCTAAGTTTGTAAAATGAGGAGGACCAGCCAAGAATATAAGAATATAATATTTCTTATAAGAAATAAGTGAAACAAAATGCAGGTGAGGACACAGACCTTTGGGATTCACATCTCCTCCCTCCCTCTCCTCCAAGTCTTCTACTCTAGGGCAAAGCTGAATGGCAGGTGACTGGTAGTGAGGTATTCCATCCGTTGACTGAATGTACCAATCCTTTGTACCAAAGATCATTTTAGTGCCACATCACAGAAAGAAAGCAGAAGTTGCATCCATAATGCCATAAAAGATTATATAAATGTGCAGAAAAGGTCTCTTGGTCTTCCAGAGACAGCGAGGATGGTAATGGCCAGCAAGAAGCAAATGCACCAAATGCACCAGGTCTGGCTGTGACACCAGCTTCTTCTTAGCAGGCAGTAGTTCAGTACCTGCTCACACAAAAAATTTGACAGGAGAGAAAAGTATATCTACCTCCAGAAGATTAGCAATCAAGAAAGGTGCTAACATTTGAAAATTAGTTCAGTCTTTATCTATGTTCAGACATCTTCCCAGGTAAGAAAGCTTCTATCCTGTAAAACCTATGTACAGCAACAGTGTCAGACAAAAAAATGAGAAGATCCACTGACAGAGACCATAATGCAGAGACATACACACTGTCTCTGACCTAATGTGGACACTATTTTGGCAGTCACAGTCCTACATATTTGGGATGTTCATAGAGACAGGTCTTCCATTAAAATTACAAATTCTGTTTGGCAACAAGTAATATGTAAACACCTATGTTTTGAGATACATTTAAAACCCCCTAAAGGTCCACCCAGAGCTGTACTTTGAGCGATTCAGCTCATGACCAAAGAAATCTCAAGAGGGGGTTGATGACAGCTTGTTTAACATTTGCCAGTCTACAGCACCCAATTTAGTTTTTCAGAAACTGCAGTGTATACTGTGAAAGACCTATGGACAGCTTGTAATAGAAGGCTGCCCTAGGAAACTGATCTCCATTCTTCCATCAGAAGGACTTAAATATGATATAAGGCAAGTCACTTAAACAAAATAGGCATCATATGTTCTCTCTTTAGAGAGAGTGCATTCAGATTTAAGCAAGATCTCACAATGAAGGTATAAAATATGAACTCAAGTTTCAAGTTCTCCAAAACATCTGGTCCTATGCATCTAAGCACTGAGCAAGAGAATGACAGAGTACCCTTGTTTTCACTTCTCTAGGTCTGTTTCCTATATTGAAAACCACTATCGTAGCTCTCATGCACAGGGAAGCTGAAAAAATGCAACATTACCAATACCGTAAGAAACATCACTAAAACCAGTCTATTTCCAACAAAATTTTCACGACTTGTTACAAAGTAGCAGTCACAGTACTGAGAAAGGAAATACTATTTGACATGGTAGAGGTTTTTACTTTTCTTTTACACATATCAGGTAGAAATTACATCCTACTCCACACTTATACTTCCTCATGATTATCATCCCTACAGCTCAACTCACCAAAGAAGGCAGTGAAAGAGCTAGGAATCCATCCCTCAACAATTCTCTCACTACCCACTTTCCCACTCTGCAAGTTCCCAAACAGACACATTCATGGAGATAAATACAGGAGGAGAAATTTTCCTGTGCAGCTAAGCCAATCTAAGAGATGACTGCTGTGAAAGAGTGGTCCTGTTCACTCTCTCCTCAATCCTCCCCTTGAGTCAGCTCTAGCACTTATGTGAGCTAGCAATGAGCCAATATAGCTCATTAGTGAGAAAAACCAGCCATCCCAGAAAAAGGAAATAATCAGAACACAAAACCTCAATGATATGCTGGTTTAATGAGCCAAATCAGCTCACCAAGTACCAAATGAACACCAGCACTGGTGAAATAAAAGGGCCAGAAACACTGGAAGAAAGGAAAATGGCATTGCATTGTGTTTTGAAGTAGCAGGGAAAAAAGCTACAGATGCTTAGTGACAGCTCCAGTAATGCTTCTGCCTGTTCTGCAGCGGTAACAAGAATCAAGAGCTTGGACTTACATGACAGCAGATGTTAGTATGAACAAAATCATGGTTAATAAAATCATGTCAGTCTTTCTCCCAGAAAGTATCTTTTTATCATAGTAGTGAAATAAAACAGATAGTTTCAAGAATGACCCCTATCAGAGATCAGAGGCCATGAGCCGTAATTTCTACCGATAAGACACAGCTCTGAAACAGTCTTACTGCTTTTATGCTCTTGTAGTCTCCCAGTTTTTATAAAGTCAATGAAAAACGGTGCGAACAGTTCCTTGACAATCAAAAGGATTACTTTTTACTGTTGTTCTTTCTCCTCGTGGTTGTTTTACCCTCTCACTTTTTACCTTCCTTTCACTCCCACAATCTCATGCTGGAACATGCTAAAAAGCATCTACTTTTGAGCTGCATTAATGAACAAAAAAGCTAATCTAACCTCTTGCAGAGTGCGAAGATAATGAGGCTATCTGGCAGACCATCAGCAACAGACACCAGACCATCGGACAAAGGCGTCTTTGTCTCCCAGTCCCATGGGTTCCCTACTTCTTGTACCTACATTCCTAACCTTCCTCGACAGCCTGTGCAAACCCAGAAACCCCCGTTAGATCCACAGGACAGACAGAAAAACCTGTGACACAGTACATGCCTACAGCTGAACAGGAAGTGAGCTCAGCTGCCACAGTTCACAGCGAGCCCTCCAAGGCTGTACAGAGGAGAATGCACACTTCGGTAATTCACCTGGGGAGCTTTTCTTCTCAAGCGGAGCAGTCCCACAGCTCTGCTTTAACAGCTTCTGTCTCAAGCACAACTATTAATCGGTGAAGAGGCTGGAAAAGCATGACTAAGGCAAATCAAAAATCTACCACAGTTCTGTATGCTAGCTTATGGGTTTTTTCCTCCATAAAATTGCAGCAGTAAGACTGAAGGGAGGCTGGGTTAAAGAACTCTGCTGCCGTATACCACTCAAAGACTGCTCAAGAAGCAAGCCCGAGACACACTCTTTGCTGAGGAGGCTGTTCCTTTGGCCTGTGCGCTGTGACAAACTACAGCAGTTTAAACACATCTCTTCATCTTCACTGAAAAAACAAATCCTTGAAATCCATTGGCAAGGCTCACGTGTCACACCTATGAACAAGACAGCCCACACAGAAAGCAGGTGTGTTCCACAACCAGTCACTTCCCTGAGGAAGCACCTCAAGGTCTGTCAGGACTAACATCAGAGCAGCAGCTCCTATGAGACTCAATACTGCAAAAACTGGAAAACAGAGTTTGTTCTCCTCTCCCAGCAGTATTTTTAAAATCTCTTATAAATAACCAAGTAGAAAGAAACATTAGTTGCTATAACTGGAGATAATCCTAGTCCACATGAACATGTGCTATCTTTGCTTCTCTCTGCTCCCTGAAAGACTTCTACCTCATTAATTGCATATTAACTATGACTTCAGGAACAAAGTATGGAACACGGAAAGGAAATCTTTACAACTGTGTAATTTATTGAGGAAACTCTAGATATAAACTAAATGAAGCAAATGACAAAAACCTTTTCTCCCTTTTCCAGCTCAAGCAACAATTTATGAGCAACCACTGAATACATACTGGGTAACTTAATAAAAAGTGAAAACCTTTTCTACTGGAGTATACTGTAAATTCCTGGGCTGCCCGATATGAGGCACATTCTTATGTTTTTTAAGTCTGGCTATATGTATCTTATGTTAGGCATCTGGGCAGCAACAGGGCAGTGCAACAACAAACTTCACTCAAATGCCAATCAAAGCTGGATCTAAAGCGCCTTGACCCAAGAGGTTCAATATTAATGAATCATAATTGCCAATGTTAATAGGTACTGAAGGCTGTCAGGCTCCCAAAACAACAGCTTTATAAAGCTGAAGCACAGTGATGGCACAGTGGCAGAAATGGCCAGCCCTTCATTAGGTGAGCCTCTGACGGTATTTCTTCCTCCAGCAAGTGACCCAGATCTTACCGAAAGCCTAAGACAAGGGCCATGCCCTCTGAATACTCAACCACTTACTGTTCACTATGGGAGGCGAGGCAGAGGCACGGCGGGGGGAAGAAATCCCCCTAAAACTGAACAATGAAATAAAAAGCCACGCAACAGTAAATTTGCATTTTAATACCGCTTCCTGTAGTCTCACCGCTACCTGCACAATACCTAAATGACGCCGCTGGGACTATTTACCCAGGGGCAAAACTTCGGCTGCACCGGGATGTCTCGGCCCAGGTTAATACCCACCTTAACGCTGAAAAAGAACGGCTCCGCAGGGCTGCTCCCCCGTCCCCCATTAAAAAAACCAACAACCTACAACACAAAAAAAAACCCCGAAAACCAGAAAACCAAAAAAAAAAACCAAAAACCCTCCCGAACCTCAAAACGCCAACAAAACCCATAAAAAACCCCAAAACAAACAATCAATCAAACAAATAAAAAAATCCCAGCAGCTTTTTTTCCTTTGAAGAAGGCATCGGAGCACAAGTTGAGGCGCACGCCCTGCACTACAGCATCACGGCCGCCCCCAGCCCCCCGCCCGGCCGGGGCACGGCCGCCCCCGGCCGCCGCCTCGCACACGCCCAGC